AAACCTGCAGAACCACTTCAGCTCTGAGGCTTCTTTTTAATGGGCAGAATTTAGGCTGTAGGTGGGACTGAAGTAAAAAAAGTATAACTAGTCCACTGAATGCCAATACGAATTAAAATCTAGGACAATCATACAACACAAGGATTTGGGATTATTTCTTGAAAGCTCAGGAAATGGTGCACACTGCTGGCTTTTGGCCCTTAGCAGCTGCAGACACCGAATCACAGAGCCCACCAGAATGACATCCGTCTGTCAGCAGGCGCCAAACCCCAAGCCGAAACCCATCATGGAGTCCACCCTGACGCGTGGCGGCCCTGTGTGGGGTTTCTGAGGCCGTAAACTCTTTCCAGGAGCAGCCAGCCTCCTCTTGCTCCTGCTGGGAGTTTGAAGTCACCAGTGTTGTGGTCAGTAGCCTAGTGCCGATGCCACAGCACCACCAGCACTGGGGCTCCTCACCAGCAGGAGCAGAGAGAGAGCAGATCAGAGATTGCCAACTGACCGCCCACCCTCCGGGGACAGACCTGGAGGGGCTCTGCAGGAGAGTAGGAGCTTTGCCCAAGGTCCAGAAGACAGCCGGCAGGAGCAGACTCCGGCAGGGAGCCCAAGGAGCTTCTGGTCTTTCAAGACTGCTGGAAATCTGGGTTTTCATGGGAAATGTTGCCCACCCACCCCACCAATGGGACAAGTGATTTTCAAAGGATGCACCTGAACCAAAAGAAAAAAAAAAGTCCCCAACCACGTGGGTCAAAGCAAACATGTGAAGCATATAAAGTATTCCAGAAGGCACCGGGTCAGGTTCTGAGCACCATAGCACCTCTAGGATGCCTGACCGAGGGTCCTGGAAGGCTAGGCTGCTCAGGGGCACGTGGAAGGAAGGGCTGGTGATCTGTTTCTGTGAGATAACTGCCAAGGAAACCCTGTGGAGCACCTGTCCGCTCGGGATCACATGGAACGGACCGGGGCAATGGAATTTGCCTTTTATGTTTCATCCATCAGATGGTAACAAGGAGTCCTAATGGCACAATGGTTAAGCACTTGGCTGTGAACCCAAAGGTCTGCAGTTCTGATACAGCTGTCACTACGGGAGAGATGATAGAAGTGAGAGAGAGAGAGCGAGCGAGAGAGCGCCAGTTCGGCTCACTATGAAGCGGAATCAGCCGAACTCACTGGCACCCAGTGGATGCTGACTCAGAGTGACCCTAGAGCACAGGGGAGAGCAGCCCCTGTAGGTGTCTGAGACTGCACCTCTTTATGGGAATAGATAGCCCCATCTTTCTCCCTTGGAGCAGCCCTTGCAGTTACCAGCCCAACTCGTAACCACCAGGCCACCAGCGCTCTGGGTTTATGGAAGATGGCAACGATGGGGGCGCGCCACAAGACTGTACCCTTCCAGCCCCTCTCTGGCCATGAGGATTGGACTCAGTGCCAAGCAGTCATGCTGCCATGCTATCTGCCATCACCCATGAGAAGTGAGAGAGGCTCCGTGGATCCGGATTGGGGTTCTGGGTGCTTCTAAGCCTGGCCAATGTTAGGGAGAGTGCACAGGACTGGGTGCCAGGGTACCTGGGCTCGGCCCATGCTGGCACGGCGCTTGGACACTAGAAAGTAAATTAGAGTGAAGGGTTTGTCTTGTTCATGGCCACGACAGTGCCCAGCATTCAGCCGAGATGCTGACTGATGAACCATGGGGGGGGGGGGGCATCATTTCATCCGGGGTCTCATCTTCCCATGAATACAATGGGATGAGCTATGCCCACCCTACTGGCCTCACAGGGTGGTTATAATGAGATGATAGGAGGGAAAGTGCCTGGGGGTGGAAGGAGCAAGGGTTAGGGCCTCTCTCTCCGTGACTGACAGCGAGGGCCACACCATATGCTACATGAACATGGCCCAGCCAAACCGCGCCTGTCTCTGGCTGCGTGGCACCAGCCTGGAAGGAAATGCCGCACCATCCCTCCAATTGCCATTCTGCACAGGGTTAGGCAGACCCGCGGTACCTTGCGTTGTCCCGGCCGTGTGACTTCAGGAAGTTCATATCTCGGTATCGGGAGAGAAAGGCCACCAGCTGGTCGTTGGTCCTGTGGAAACAAGCAGACAGCAAAGTCAGGTCCTCGGGAGGAGACCCACGGGCACCTGTGGGTCTCGGCTCCCCCCATGGTCACCGATACCAGACCCCTCCTTATTTCACAGAGGAGGAGGCTTGTGCCTGCATTTCAGTCTCCCCCCTGGCGCCCACCCCACAGGCGGGTCAGGGGTTCTCTTCCATCCCCCCCATGACGGGGCCACTCCAATCAATGAGAATGGGTATAGCATCTCGTTTGTTCTGAAATACTCAGCGCCCAAGCCTGGGTAGGGAACCTCAAGTCATTGGAGTGCCGTCAACCCACCATCAAGGCACAGCAACCTCAGGGCCTTGGCACTTGACACACCTGGCTTCCCACCGCTGGCCTGCTGTGGTCATCCCGGCCTCCTTGAAAATGTTACCTCCTCACAGAGGAGGCCTTTTCCTCTCCACCCCCTACCCCCACCCCAGAGCTAGCTAATTCACAAGCTCATCACCACCTGAGGGCACTGAGCTCGCCTGCAGTCAAAGGTAAGTTCTGGGAGGACAGGAGCCCACTAGGCTTATCCATCACCGGTGCCCAACAGGAGCTACATGCCGGGAGAACTGAAGTGCGCCCGAACGGACTGCAATGAGTGAACAAGTGAATGAAGGAGCGAAGGAATGAAGGCCCCGTGACCACTGGGCTGCCGAAGGGGAGAGCTGTAAAACCAGACAAAGGGCTGCACAAATGGATGGCGGGGTTCCCAACGCTGTGATCCCATGTTTATCGCCATCCATCTCGGCTCTCGCAGTGGAGTCACAGCTAATCAGCTTGAGCACACAGCTGTGACCGTGTTTTAAAAGGCAGCCACACGGGTCTCCATCTGCCAGCCACACAGTTGCCCCTCCCACTGAACAAACCCTTAACAGGTAAACGGCGCCGATGTGACAGCTCCTTTATCACCCGGGTTCTCCGCACACATGGCTTCTTTGTGGTTTTCCTTAGAGGGAAAGGGTTAACCATGGCTCACAGCAGGGGAGGCAGGGGATGGGAGGAATGTTACCCAGGAAGATCAGGGTGCCAAGACCCAAGGGAGGCAGCAAAGGGTGCCTGGGCTCTATGGACAGAATGACACCAAGGGGACCGACCCCACCCCTGCTGCACTTTAACCCAGCCATGCCCACACATGACACTGCACAAAGCCAGGTGCTGCAGAGCCGATTGTTGACCCCCCCACCCCACCCTACATGATCCCCCAACCCATTCCATATGCTCAATTCTTGGACCCATGCCCTTTGGGGGATTGCCAGGTCTTTCTTCCAAGGCACCTCTGGGTGGACTTGAACCACCAATCTTGCGGTGAACAGTAGAGTGCTTAACCCTCCATGCCACCCAGGAGCTTCCAGTCACTTGCCCTCTCTGGATGGCCTCTTCTGACCTCGCGAGGCCACGGGAAGCAGACGTGCCCAGCACACAGGGCACGCTGCCATCCAGCTCTTTGCCAGGTGCGGCCGAGTGGACCCCAGGCCCTCGTGGCAGTGGTGAAGCATTTGCTGCTAAGCAAAAGGTTGGCAGCTCTGAGGGAGGAAGGCAGGAGAGAGGCTTCAGGAACGAGAGCAGCCTGGGAAATGCTCCTAGTTCTACCTCCCTCCTGTCCCCAGGGGTCCCCATGAGGCAGAGCCAACTCCACAGCACACGAGAGCAACAATAAGGACCCAGTCACCCCTCAAATCCACCCCCCACGACACCTTGTTGACCGATTCAGAGCCACCCTATAGGACTGAGCAGAACTCGCTCATAGGGCTTTCAGGCTGGAGTCTCGACAGGAGCAGACTGCCATGGAGTGGCTGGTGGGTTCAAACTGCCAACCTTTAAGTTATCAGTAGAGTGCTTCAGCACTGCACCACAAGGGCTCCTGATGGATACATGGGCGGCGTTACAGGCACACAGTAGGTACTCAGCAAATGCTGCCTCTTTCTGCCTTCTGGCTACTGGTTCTAAGTTAACCCCATCCCTTCATCTCCCTCAGCTCCACCTGCCACTCCAAGCCCAGCCAACTCTCTGATTGGGTGAGTGCTGGTGACCAATTCCTAATTCCAGTGGCATGTGGTGGTGGTGGTGGTGGTTTGCAAGCAACAGAGATGGTACAGCCCTGGGATGGAAATAAAGACCAATCCCCAAGCAGCCCAAGGGTTTACAGCACACAGGACATACGGAGGAAGCTGCGTCCTGCCCAGGTGCGAGGGCCAAGCCTCCTAGCAATGGTGCTTCCCGTGTGCCCCAATAAGAAGACCAGCCCCCCTCCCACGAGATGAAAGTTTGCCCTCTTCCCAGACCACAGAAGCCCAGCCCTGCCGGCTAGCAGCTCCTGCTCACCAGCCCTAGCCCCGGCTCTTCCACTCTGCAGCAGTTCATTATAATCGTCTTGCTGAATACAGAAGAAGTTAACCTCTGCAGGCATCCGGCAGCAGGAGCAATGGATGGGGCCTCTCCTACGTGGGAAGGTTGGAGGGGCTGGCCAGACTCAGGGGACCCCCTCTTGAAAAGGCACAGGCCTGCCTGGGTCAGTGGCTGCAGCTCCACTTGGAGACTCCAGAAAGCACCTTTACAAGTCGGGAGTGAAGGCCGTTCTCACATTAGCCGCTCTGCCGAGTCGGACGGGATGAAGAGGCATGCAGTGAATTCACTTAGCCGTGCTTCCACACGAAATCGGCTTGAAAGCTGACCTCTTGGGGGAGTTCGGGTGGACGGGGATGGAGTTTCTGGGGAAAGTTGCTTTTCAAAGCCCGGTATTGTGTGTTGGGCATGGGCTGCAGCTCATCTGGCACTGGCTGGGCGGATGGGCGTGGGGACCCATGGCATTCCCTCCCAGGTGAGGGGGGTAAGGCAACTTGCTCCCTGTTTGGACTGCTCCAGCTCTCCAGAGGGAGATGACATTTGGCTGGGGACCGAGTTTCCCATTGTTGATTTCAGACGCCAGTCGATAATTGCCTACACAATATTGAGTTCTCTCTGGGTAATTAACAGCTTGAGATCTGTTGACAATACATTCTACTTGGCTCCTCTCCCCACCCCATATACAGTTCTCTCTGGTGGAGCTGTTTTACCCCACAACTCACCCCGGGCTCTGTCCCTGCAACACCTTCAAGACTTTGCCTCTGGAGATAACAAACACAGGTCCAGGAATGGGTTTGGGCTCACACTAAATCTTAGCTTCAATGGAAGAATCATGAGCTCTTATATCATGGCCCCGCTCAATACTCACCCCCAGGAAGGGAACACAGAAGATGGGTGGTATTGCAAAGTGTGGTGAAGAAATTAGATGGTGCCCGCCTATCGGATAGAATAGTATCTGGGGTCTTGTTTCCGAACAAGCAACCATCTAAATGAGATGTCAACTAAATCCACATGGACGAAGCACACCAACATCAGTGACCGAAAGGATTGTGAATGATGTAATCCAAAGCAGAAGGAGAGGATAGCATCAGAGCCTAAATTTCAAGATTCTGGGTTTGCAGAAGGCTAGGGATGACGGTGGGAGCCCAAGATACATTGGTGAGATCAACACAGGAAATAGGGCTCAAGAGATTTCCCTCTGTCCATAATAGAGGGATGGGAAGAAACTGGTCATCGAACGGAGTGCACTGGAGAGAGGACTATAGGAGATCGAAATGACAAACATGACTTGTACAGGTGTCAGTTTATGCCCCTTCTGACAGATGTTGGGCCACATCTGGTTTCATATATATATATATATGTGTGTGTGTTTCACATTGGGACTTATCTCTAATGCATTGTGTCACTGTGGGTAGCCCTCTTGAATGTTAGTTACATGTGTTTGTGTTTTTCAACACATGGAACCCAGAACTGATGAACCTATGGAGATAGCAAGTAGAATAAGGATTCCTAATGGGTACAGTGGTGGGGGGAGGAGGGGGAGGGATAAAAGGGAGCCGATGGTCAAGGAGTTCAAGAAGGAAGGAAATGTTTTGAAACGGATTGTGGCAGCAATTTACAAGTCTGCGCGATGTCATTGCACTATGGAATATGGTATCTATATCAGAGTCCGATAATGGATTTGAAGGGAAAACAAAGACTTGCCTCTAGGTCTAGGCCAGCTCTCTGGGCCCATCGCCGTAACCATGGAGTCCCTGGGAACTCTTTGTGGAAAGAACTAAGTAAACGCACACGTTTTTAAGAGGAACTCATTGGAAATCTCTATGGACAGGAATAAACGCATACAAAGTAAGCCACAAACCACAACCACTCACTGGCAGATCAGCCCCCACTGCACAGCACCCTCGACTCACAAACCCCACCCTGAGCCAAGCCAGGGGCCTCAGGCCCATCCCGGCTCCTGGTGCCCCCAGGGGAATCGGAGCAGGCCTGGCCTCCACGGGGTCTTCAGTGGCTGATTGATTCTCTGGGCAAATCGGGCACCAGGTCTTTCTCCCGAGTGCCTGTGGAAGGACGTGAACTTCTAACCTTTCAGCTGTGAAGTAAGTGCCTTTGCCCAAGGGTCTTTGAATGCACACACAGTGCACTAAAAACCAAGCCCGCTGCCCTCCGCTGATTCAGACTTTGGAGAGCCCAGAGGACAGAGTAGAGCTGTCCCGTAAGGCTTCCGGGGTGTCATCCTCACAGAAGCGGATGGCCACATCTTTCTCCAAAGGTGGAATGCCTGTTGGGTTCAAACTGATGACCTTTCGGCTAGTAGTGGAATGCTTAAACCACTGTGCCACCAGGGCTTCTTCATACCCGCCCTTCCACCCACCAGCCAACCACACACAAACACACGGTCTGGAGTCCATACCCACTCACAGTCGCCCTGCAGGTCAGAGGCAAGCGGCTCCAAGGGTTTTCTGGAGCTGTAAATCCTTTTTTTTTTTTTCATGTGTAAGAAAGAACTTTATATCAAGAAGTCATTATGTATCGAGAGAGCATCCCAGCCCGGTCGAACTCAAGTCCGTAAGTCCAAAACTAGTCCATAAGTCCCTCTTCAGACTCCCGCAGCCACATGCAATGATGCAGAA